TTCAAGATCCCCTATGGAACAGATGGCTCTGGTTCAAATCCCCGTGAATTTGGGGTTTTTTTTAATTGAGGGGGTTAAGGCTCGCTGTCAATTTTCTAGGAAATTCAAGCCCAGTATCAAGTCCATAGCACTGTGGAGATTCAAACTGTTGAGGGAGATGGAAGGGATTCACAAGCCAGAAGGCCCATAATCACTTTCCTCCGATTAACTCGAACCCCCCCCCCTTCCCCCGGCTAAATCTTGATGTTCCCATCATTCGAGCACTGCAGAGAGAACTGAGAAACAACAAGTCAGATTAACGTCTGGAGATATTTGGGGATGCTGCTTAAAACATATGTAAAGAGTACTTTGGTTTGTAGAGTAGAAAAGCAAAATCCACAGAGCAACAGGCGACAAAGGCAGGGGGATAACCTTAGAAGCAGACCGATACAAATTAAAAATATAATTTAAAAAACCCAAATGGAAACAGCTTAAAACAGCATCAACAGAAGAAGAGTAAAGCCCAAGGAAGCCTTGAAAGGAACTAAAACAAGAAGCAACTGAAGTCACACTCAGTAATGCTGAACATTACAAATTTGAGGAAAAACAACGCCTTCGTTACAGGGGTACTGTTTTAAAACCCACATTTTGACCCCAAATGTTTTATTTTTGCAACACGTACACGTTGTGGGCCTTGATGTTTGGTCTACGTACAACAAACTGTATTTTTCATCACCTTACTTTCGTTTATGTTGTAATTTTAACGGGTAGAAAGCGTATTGTTGCTTCTAAGTCAAACCCGAAAAAAACACGCACCCTCTCGTGCATAGCGTTCCATGAATAGATTAACTTTTCGGCGACATCAAAAGTAAGGGCATTTTTTTAATTTGATACCAAAGCAACCTGAATATTTTAATTTGTGATCCAAAGGAATGCTATGTCCGCTGTGTCCGCTGTGTTCAAATTTGTATCAAATTTTGAGAGGTCGTGCCTTTATGGGTTAACAACAGTTCATCTTGGTGAAATATGATCCTCTCTCTCTCTCTCTCTCTCTCTCTCTCTCTCTCTCTCTCTCTCTCTCTCTCTCTCTCTCTCTCTCTCTCTCTCTCTCTCTCCAACTGCCTTGCTCTAGCTTCAAGTGTTCCTCTCTGATCTCGTGCCCTTTATACTTCCATTACCACCACTACCACCTCAGATCCCACAACCCCTCC